AGTGCTTCATATTTTTATTTCTTCATGCATAAAGGTTATAAGCACAGTATCTTTGCAGTTTGGAAGCAGAGGTGAGAGACGGGCAGAACTATGGGGGCAGAGTTAAGGTTATTTATATTATGTTACCTGTGCATTTGCTTGTTTTCAAATGTTTGGATTTTTTTGGAAAGTGGATCCTTTACACAGTATTTCCATACTTTCTAAAATTTGCAACTTTGAGTTTAGAAAACTTTCAAATTGATTTTGTTTTAATTGAAGTAAATCCCCCCTCCCATTCCCCAATTATTGCTAATTATTTCCATCATGACAACATTGAGAGAGCCCATTTTGCTAGGAGCTGCATACAAAAAAAAAAGTTAATGGAGATTGCCTATCTCCTAGAACTGGAAGGGACCAGTCTCCTGCCTTCACCGCAGGACCAAGTACCATCCCTGATAAGTTTTTGTCCCAAATCCCTTCTGCAAAGATTGAATTTACAACCCTGTGTTTAACAGGGCACTGCTCAAGCCACTGAGCTATCCCTCCCCCCATGAAACATGCAGTAAGAAATAGTCCTGCTGTGAAGATCTTATTGCCTAAATAGACAAGATAAGATGGAAGAATTTATTAGAGCTGGTTCAGATTCTGAAATTAGTGAGTTTCCTAAAAAACTAAATGAGAAGGGAAAACCTTGATTTTAGGGGGAGGGGAGGAGGGAATATAGTCCTTGTTTTACAACCAGTTTTAATAAATGATCTTCATTCAACAGACACAAAACTACTGAGTGACTTGTGTGATCTTGAGTTTTATAAAGGGGTTAATACTACCTCTTGTCCTCCTTACTCCCAGGGCTATTTTGTCTGGCCTGGAATTTTCCTTCAAAGCATGATCCTAAAGGAAATGCAGTTTCCACAAAATTGACATTTTTTGAGAATTTTGATTTCCCTGAAAACTTTTCACTTCTCATTGGGACAACTGAAATGAAACACTTCATTTCAGGTCCATCTGACGAGCAATGGATTAGTTTCGGTTTTTAATTGCCTCAAAATATTTTGTTGCTAATCAGTTTTTACAAAACATTAACTTTAGTTGCATTAAGCTATCACTTCATTGCCTCATGGGAGTTTTTTCCCCAGCCCCTATTCTTTCACCTGGCTCACATTCCCCGAAGGACTACATTTCCCATAAGGCAATGTGTTCTCCTTCAACTAGAGCTGTGGTGGTGCATCATGGGAGCATCTGTAGTATGGCCATTCTGACTTTGCTTCAGCTTTGCCATTTAGATTGTAATCTCCTTGGTACAAGGTATTTTACTGTATGTTTGTACAGCGCCTTGAACAATGGGGCTTTGATCTCAGTTAGGGCCAACAGATACTACTCTGTAATCCTTCATTTCTATTATTACCATGGATTTAGAGTTAAAACAGTTTGTGCTCTGCCTGCAAATATATATTTTTTCTGGTCCCATTCTGCAAATAGTTCAGGATGCAATAGGAGGAGATCTGGGGATTTGAGCAAATTAACCTGACTCAGATAGCAGGACATAATAATTCCTTCCATGTACAAAGCACCTTTCGTCCTGACACATTAGTTCTACAGACAGTGGGAAAAACCCAACCAAACCCTCACTCAAGACTGAATAAAACACGGCAGTGACACTGCCCACTGTTATTGACTCCAGTGAAAAGTGCCATGGGATTTTTAATTATCGTAATCCTCGGTATGCGATATCAGCATGATCCGGAGCTAGCTGACGCTGAGGGATTATCACTTCAGATGAGGAATAAGCAACAGGTCCAGAGACATTCTGAAGCATTTAGGTGCTTTTCCTCACTCACGTGCCAATGCATTTAGAGCCATAACTGCTCTCCTTTCTCTGTCACTTGCCTCCATACAAAGTTTTCTGGGGCATCAGTTGCTTCCGAACCTTGCCAGCTAATGCTGAAGGACAAGGAAGGCTAGGCTGTCATGGAGGATATAAATATATTATGATTTATTTTTAATCTGTATTAACAGTGGTGAGATTACAAAGTCAAATCCAGTCATATCATAAGGCAGGGAGAACAAGAAATGATCAATGAAGTGTGAGCTGGGTTCTTACCTTTCTCTTTGTTTTTGTTCCTACAAAGCCTATAGATAATGTAATATAGATCATACAGACAAGATCCAAGAGAAAGATATTTGAGAAACTTCTGTTCAAAGAGTCTTGCTGGCATGCATAATCTTGGAAGGCAAGGAGGAGGTTGCCAACTGTTCCATCTGTTTGGAAGGGAGAACTTGGTTTTGTGTGTGGCTTTAAATCTGCTTTCATAGAAACATAATATGTGGGAACAACAAGGAGTCCTGTGGCACAATAAGGACTGACAGATTTATTGGGCATCAGCTTTTGGGGGCAAAGACCCACTTCTTTAAGGTGCCGCAGTACTGGATCGTGACCCATAATTTCGAAATCACTAAGATAGATGTCCTTGGTACTTGTGAAGACCCTGCCTCAGCGGATCTACACGGATTTCTTCTGTGAATGGCAAATTGTATTTCACATTATTCTTTTTGTACAAGTCAGTTTTTAAGGAACTGCAAGAATGCAAGATAGGTGTCCCACACAAAAAGGAAAATGGGTTTTAAGGATGTCGGTGAGCACTGTGCTACTATATTGGGTGTCTGCTTATTTCAGGGAAATTAGAAAGCCTCCATGTGTTCATAAGCACTCAACAGTGTGGCTAACTAACTCCACTTCTGGAAATTTGCTATTGCTTGTGTCAGTCATTTTTGTACCAGCTGGCAAGAGTCTATGTGGCAGACAAATTGTCTCAAGGGAATAGAAGTGCATGCACAGCACGATCATTCTGAAGAGCCAGTTGGACTCAAACTTGGATTTCTATCATGAAATCCCAAAGCACCCTGCCTACTACAGCACACTTCAGCTTGCGCCACATGAAATGCAGCTGCTTCAGGGTGGAGGATGGCGGCCAACTAGAACACAGCCCGCTGAATATCGTCATTCCGTGCCTTTGTCCAAAGTGCCTTCCATGCAGGCAGGCAGCGCTCGTGAAAAATGCCACGAGCTCCGTACTGTCAATGCACGTGAGACAGGGCCTTTCCCTCGGGGTATGTCTACCCTGCAAGACTATTTCGAAATAACTAGCGCTATTAGTTAGTCCACATCTAAGCAACAGGCAGTTATTTTGAAATAATGTCAAAATACTATCAAGCTGGAGGACTTCTGACTCCGACTCCTGTAACCCTCAGTCGGAGGAAGAATGTTCTATTTTGAAATAAGTGCTGTATAGACACTCCCTATTTTGAAAAAAGATACTCAATTGACATAACTCAAAATAAGCTATGCAAATTGAACTAAGCCCTGCAGTGTAGACATACCCTAGAGTTCCTCAAATGGTACGTCTACACAGCAATGTTATTTTGGAATTACAGAGTGGGCATCGAGAAAGCCAATTATTTTGAAATAATTTTGAAATAATAAGCTTCTTGCTCCAACTTCTGTAACCCTCATTTTACGAGGAGTAAGGGAAGTGGAAGGAAGAACACTCTTCCTTCGATTTCCTGCTGGGTAGACAGCACCAAAAGTCACATTAAGCCATTTCAACTTCAGCAATGCAATTGACACAGCTGAAGTCACATGTCTTAATTTGACTTTTGCCCGCAGTGTAGACATACCCCAAATGTGCACACCAAAAGCAGCATTCATCCATATTGGAAGGCTGAAGGCCAGAGTTGATGGTATTGGGATTTGAACCCATGCCTCTGAAATGAGGCTAGGTCTTTCTGAAAGACCACACCTTAAAGCAGTAATTCTACAGCCTGTCTGTGTGTCAAAGTTCTGGCCGCTCTTTATCCACTTCCTTCATGGGCCATGGGGGAACCCAATCACCTGCAGTTACTTCAGCCGCTTGCGTAAGGACAGTGATGACAATCAAGTCTGAGGGCTTCAGTTGGTCCCTCATAAGGTGTTAGGCAGGAATTCCTCTCCCCTGCCTTTGAACAGCTATATTTTGGGTGGTTTGGCTTTTTCCCCTCTCATCTTCCTAAGAAGCATTCATGCTTGGGAGCAGCAGGAGACTGGACATGGGACAGGATGGGCACAGACTAAGGCTATGTCTACACTTGCGTCTTCTTGAGCAAGTATGGTCATTCTTGTGCAAGAATCTGCAGAGTGTCCACATTGTCCGCCCGCTCTTGCACAAGGAAATTTACAGTACAGCGTGGTAAGAGAGGTCTTCTTGCACAAGAGCTACGCTCTTTTTTAACAGGTGTAAGCCCTCTTGTGCAGGAGTTCTTGCGCAAGCGGGCAGTGTGGATGCTCGGCAGGGATTTCTTGTGCAAGAAAGCCCTATGTCTAAAGTGTCCACCTGAGCTTTCTTGCGCAAGAGAGTGTCCACACTGCCATGGGCGCTCTTGCACAAAAGCACAGCGCACACATGGCAGTGTGGGCATTTTCTTGCGCAAGACTTCTTGCACAAGAACCCTTGCGCAAGATGTTCTTGCACAAGAAGCCACGAGTGTAGACATAGCCTAAAAGCAGTGACAAGGAAGTCCTACAAGAACTCTCTGCCTCTCAGCTGGTACTTGTAAACAAATGTACAGCTTGGCTCAGCAGACAAAGCACCATAGATCTAGACTGCACATGGAAGGGGAAAACGGGTGAGGCCCATCACCTGTGGCATTGGTGACTAAATGTCAAGACACCTATGCTTTAAAAGATATTGCTAGCTATGTTCCATTAGCAATGCTACATACTCACCCACATGCTGTCAGGCAACCAGCAACAGAAACACAGAACTTGACAGACACACTGAGGGATGACATTGCAGTGTTTGGTAACACTTGGAGGTCGCATAACCAGAGCCCTCCTGGCACCCAACAATGTCTCTACAGTTCCTGCTCTCCTGCAGCATCTCTTCTTCCAGCCACTCCTGACATACCACTAAACTGACTAAATGGGAGGCTTTTAAACAGGGCCAGTCAGTCCTTGACTGACGCCAGGTGTGGCCAATCAATCCTAACTGTCACAACTAGCTCTAGCAGGTTCTTGATTGACTCCAGGTGTCTTAATTAACCTGGGGTAGACCTTGGTTGGTTACCAGGGAAACAGGGACTTGTTTAACATGGGGCTAATCTACCTGATTTTGATTACTTTCTTGTGGACATCTGGCCCAACCCCGTCACACCACAAAAACAGATTTTCCATATTGTTAACAGCATGTTTGTGGAACCATGCCTGATGGCATGTCTACTGTCATCTGTGTTGTTCTTCTCATCCTGTGTCAATTGAGCCAGCGACTGTCTCTTGCCATACAGCACTTAGTAGCTTGCTTGAGGCCTCTGTGCACCACATCATCCCAGTAAGAGTTCATGGTTGAGCTGCACTTCCTGATGCTGGGTCTGAATTTGATTCCACGTTTCTGATGACGAGGAAAATGAGCTGAGTTATGAAGAATAAGCTTGGGGTGTTCTTCTGCCCCCCTCTAGTGTGGCCAACTAGGGCTCAATGAGCCCGTGGGGAGGGGAGGGGAGCGCAGCTAAGAGAAAAGTGTCTTTTTGCTCTGACAGTGGCAGCTTGTGCATTCAGATCCCGTGGTCTCCAGTTCAGTCCTTGCTGCTAACAACCCACCCAGGAGTGACCATGTTACCTGAGTTATAACAAGCATAGTCCCCAGGTTCCAAGGTCCTACTGATCTGTACAACACACCCATCACAAGGAAAGCACCTCAGTCTACAGGGCAGCTCCCCCTGGGGCGTTTTCCTTTGGAATAAGGGTGTTTTGTTTTTTACAGGGACAGAAAATTGGAGGCAGGGGGACTGGCTGCCACCAGAGAACTGGGCACTGGCAAGAGAGCCTCTCACCAAACCAGCCTAGGTCAACCAAGGAAATTCTTACTGTCCAGTGGCCAAGAGGCACTGCATGTGGTTTCCAGTGAACACCACAAAACCCGTCCCTGCAGCGGCTGTTAATTGACAATCTTAGCAGCTACTTCGTTACATGAGAGCTACTAGAACTCTTATCAGCTTCAGACTAGATGTGGAGAAAGCAGTGAAAGGAAGGACTGGCCATCGATCTTGCTCAACACAGGTATTCATCAAGCCCCCGCCTCATCCTGCCGTGGCTCACTGTGTCTGAGGGAGAGGGATTTTTAGAGTTTTTCACATAGGAGAAGGCATCTGAAATGGCAAATGCAGAAAGCGTCAGGCTAATCCCAGGTAATGAGGAATGAGCAACCTTTTCACAGTTCAACCCGAGGCTCTGGGCCAAATGCAGCGGTGATGTAAGGGGGAGTGTAAGCTTCATGCAGGGTGTAAACAGCATCGTCATGCCCTTTGGCATTTACCCGGTGTGTTCCAGATCAGGAATTTACCAGCCAAAGAGCAAAATGAGGAGGCTGGCTGAAAAGACCAGAGGTGTGCGGTGTAAGAAACTAACTAGACTAGACTAGACTAGAATGTATCAAGTTAAAAGGTGGATGAGGGAAGTGTATTGCACTACCTGTTGGTTAATTGCTTCTCATAGTATTGCCCTCCTCCCCGCCAAAACCCTATACCAACTGGGCACTCTGAGTGCGTCTACAGTGCACCAGGAGCTCAAAATAAGCTATGCAATGTGAGCTACACAAATTGCGTACTTATTTCGAGTCAATTTCGAAATAGTTTATTTTGAAATGTGGGGCTGTCTACACAGCACATTTCAAAACAGAGCACAGTTCTGAAATGTCCCTTACTCCTCATGGAATGAGGTTTACAGGGATGTCAGAATAGCGTGCCCATTACATTTCAAAATAACAGGTGTGCTCAAAAGATGCAGAATAGCTATTTTGGATACCTCCAGTATCTTGAAATAGTGCTGCAGTGTAGACATAGCCTGTGTGGGTCATAGATGGTGGGGGAATCCTGACTTGCAAAGGCTAGCCCTCCAGCCCCCTTTCACTTGAAGCCCCACTCCTACGACCTCAGCTAGAGTGTGTGACGGGATCCCCAGCCTGCCTGGCCCAGCCTGTGACAGAGAACAGTATGCAGAAATATAATTTATGCCATCATGTTCCGAAAGTGTCTGTCTGCTATGTACATTGGACAGACGTCTCAGACACTTCGCCAAAGAGTCAATGCCCACAAAACAGATATTAGACAGGATCACACAGAAAACACAGTTCCTTGCCATTTCAACCAGAAAGGACATTGTCTCAATGACTTGATTACCTGCATCCTGCTTCAAAGACCTTTTCAGACCACACTTGAAAGAGAATCCTCTGAACTGTCATTCATACTTAAATTCGGCACTTTACGCCTAAGTTTAAACAAAGACATTAATTATCTTACCCATTACAAAGATAGCTTCCTCAATTATCACCTCTAAATATCATTAGCTCACAGACATTTACCTTCCCCCCCATCCCCCTTCTGTTCTGAAATTTGATTTGTCCTTTTCATATGTGTTCATTTTTTTTAATTGTATCCTTTGGTATATATGGTTGTGAAAAATTTTTTCCACTATTTGATTTGAGGAAGTGGGTCTGGTCCACGAAAGCTCATCATCTAATAAACCATCTTGTTAGTCTTTAAAGTGCTACATAGTCCTGTATTTTGTTTTTTACTAATACCAAGTCTGAATTTGGCCCCTTTTCTACCTGCAGTCCCAGGGTGATGGAGGCTGCTGAGGGTTTCAGTGTTTCCTTCACTGGGCTCCTTCCACTGAAATCCCATCAGAGTTATGGTGTGGAACACGTCAAACAGAAAACTCCTTCTGTGCGTGTCAGCAGCATCGAAGCGACGGGCTCTGCTGGCACAGCTAAGCCAACACAGGCTCTGGAATGTAGACGTAGCCTCGGCTTTCATGAAAAAAGTGTTTCAGGTCCTCAGATTTGCAGAGAAAAGGCTGAAAACACAACCCAAGCGGGTCCCTAAAGCTCAGAAAGCAAAGGCCCATGAAAACCCCAAATGAATTATTTGTTTATTTCTCTTTAATCTCATTATTTTAAGCAGTCTCATGACTTTTTTATTTGGCTCCTGATGTAGGTCCTCCTGAGCTTGGCTGTGCTCCCAGGATGAAGAACTTTGCATTGACTTAGCATCTCTCGGAGGCCAAGTTTCCTTTTTGCTATTCCAGGAAAGTAAGGAGGAGGCAGTGTGCAGCAGGAGGCTACAGAGTTAGCAGAAGTTGTATCAATTCTGGCTCTTACAAGTGTCTGTAGACACAATATTTTTGTTCCTGGGTCAGTAACAGGTTTCTTTGTACAAGGAAGACCACTTAATGCCAGGAATGCTGATGTCTGACAGGCACACCGTGCGCCTGGGTTTTCCTGGCCAGGGCCTCCTTTTTAGTTCTCCAGTCTCCATCCAGACAGAGATTAGAAATATGAAAAGCTTCCCTGAGAATCTACAACCATTTCTGTGGAAGTTGTGGGAAGGGGTCTGCCAGGACCTGCTGGCTGCGTTGGATCTTGGGGAGGTAGAGGAATCTCCTAGTGCAGTGTTTCTCACACTGGGGGTCCCACCCCAAAAGCGAGTGCATGAGGGCCACTAATAGGGAAGATCAACAGTTACTAGAAGACACAGCTTAGTTTGTGATGCAGATATGAGGTACAACTTAATTTGCAATGCTGACTGGGAGCAAGGTCTTAGAGTAACATTATCTAATCATGAATAGTAAGAGAGGGTATGTCTACATTACCCCGCTAGTTCGAACTAGCGGGGTAATGTAGACATACCCTCTCTTACTATTCATGATTAGATAATGTTACTCTAAGACCTTGCTCCCAGTCAGCATTGCAAATTAAGTTGTACCTCATATCTGCATCACAAACTAAGCTGTGTCTTCTAGTAACTGTTGATCTTGTCTGAAGCTCTGTATAATTGTGTGGTGTGAGAGAATGCCATCACAGGTGTGAGGAGGTGTGAGGAGGTGTGAGTGAACACCATCACAGGTGTGAGGAGGTGTGAGGAGGTGTGAGTGAACGCCATCACAGATGCCCAGGTGATCAAGAAGAAGTGGAAACTTTGAAGTTAAGGAGGAAACAGCCTTTGTGTCTTGAGGCTGAATTAAATTGGCAGCATTGACAACCTTGGAGACACTCTCCCCAAGAGTGAGAGACACCGATGGGCAGCCTGACAATCCCCATCAAAGGAGAACTCTGAAAACAGATTAACACCTCCTAAGGGTTGATGAGGGCAGCATGACACTGTATCCACAGACACCAATGGGAACTGACATGTATAAGAAGGGGGGGGCTCTGGCCATGGGACGCTGGGTTCAATCCTGCAAACCGAGCCTCAGAGGAGTCTCAGAGGAACCCGACTCCTCGTTCAGTCAGCCAGGCCTGACCAGTGAGTCTGACTTGAGCCACCATGGACTGGTAACTATGCACCATCTGCAGGACCTGTGTGTGTGTGTGTGTGTGTGTGTGTGTGTGTGTGTGTGCAAGTGTCTTTATGAAGCGCATGCTAACTGCTTCTCTACTGCATTCTCAATAAACACAATGTATTGGCCTTTTCCCCTGAAAAAGATCCCGTGTGCTTCTTATAAGCATAACACCGTCAGGGATTTGGTTTGTTGGCTTCTGCACCCCTTGCTGGGACTGTCCCTGGGAGACAGCCCATAGTCTCCTATAGACAACCACCTAACCTCAGGATGATTCTTAACTACAACCACAGGACATACCACACTAATACCAACCCTGGCACTTCCCTTGCAACAAACCCTGGTGCCAGCTTTGTCCACATATTTACTCTGCTGACACCATTATCGGACCTAACCATGCCTATTAGAAGATCAAGAACACATATTCCTGTTCATCCAGAAATATAATGTATGCCATCATGTGCCTGAAGTGTCCGTCTGTATGTACATTGGACAAACTTAAGACACTTCGCCAAAGAATCAATGCCCACAAAACAGACATAAGACTCTCTCACAGAGAGAAAGCTGTTGCCTGCCATTTCAGCCAGACTGACCTTTCCCCCAATGACCTTAAAACATGCATATTGCTTCAGAGAGACTTTAACTCCAGACTTCAACAAGAAGCTTCAGAATTATCATTCATGCTTAAATGTGACACTTTATGTATGGGTCTCAACAAAGTGTGTGCGTGGGGTGCTGAGACGCTCTGATCGGGCATGGGCTCAGCCACCCGCGTGTGTCCTCTCCCCGGTTGTTGCCTCAGTTTCTCGTCCCGCTCGCTGTTCCCCTTCCTGATGCCTGCGGCCCCGTTCCGTGCCTGACACCAGAGTGCGGGGTAGGGGGGCCTGGGCCCACCCTCTCTCACGGGCCCCAGCCCAGGACCCTAAGGACAGGTTTGGTCGCCCCTGTCCAGCCAGCGGGGCTAGCGCCCGAAACTTGCCGGCTCACTGGCTCCACACCCCTTCCTGGGCTGCTTCCTACCCCACAATCCTTGCCTATCTTGACCCCAGACCCAACTAGGCTCGCCTCTCTCCAGGGGGCCGCACTGCTACTGGCTCACTCCCTTGCCTCCTCCTCCTGCCCCCCCCCTCCCCGGCTGCCTCCCTTTTTTCGGCTGCTGCCGCCTCCCTTTCAAACGCCGCACTGGTGCTTTGCCGGCGGGACGTCATTGGCCGCCCCGTCACGCCCTCCGGCGTTCCCTCTGCCCGCCCCTCCCACACCACTCAGCTGTGCAGCAGTAGCCGTACAGGGGCTGCATGCCGCTCGCGTCTCCTGGTGAGCTCCCAGGAGCGAGAGCATGACCGCTGGCTCGGCGCGGGGCAGATCTGTTTCCGCGGGGCGGGGGCAGTTTGCCCCGTCACACAAAGACTCTAAGTCTCTCACCCATTACAAAGATAGCTTCCCCAATTATCACCCCTCACAGACACTTCCCCTATTATCACCCCTATGTCATTACGTCACAGACACTAACCTTCCCCCCTCACCCCCACTCTGTTCTAAAATTTGATTTGTCAATTTCACATGCGTTCATTTTTTTGATTGTATCCCTTTGGTATATATGGTTGTGACAATTTTCTTCCACTATTTGATCTGAGGAAGTGGGTCTGGCCCACGAAAGCTCATCACCTATTAAACCATCTTGTTAGTCTTTAAAGTGCTGCATAGTCCTGTCTTTTGTCTGGATGACACTCTACCAGTCTGCTGACCAGGGTTCCTTTCTCCTGCCTGGGAGCGGGATCATTTCTGCTCTTTGGTCACCTGCCAGGCTGCTACCCAGCCCTTGGATCCTCCCCACTGGAGCAGGCTCTGCAGGGGCCATGGGGCAGGATCCCAGTGGCCCAAGCCGGATTTCTAACCCCTCCTGGCCCAGTGGGGGTTCTACATCCCATCAGAGGCACCCTGAAAGGTGCAGCCCTGCTGAGCCTTGGGCACCTGGCGACAGGATCAGATGGAGTGGAGCTGGCGCGTGACCCTGACCATGATGTCCTCCTGCCTCAAGAGGACAAGGGTGTGTCAGAGACTTGGCTGCCTCCATGAATCAGGGGGTCTGTCTACACTGCCACCCTAGTTCGAACTAGGGTGGCTAATGTAGGCATTTGAAGTTGCAAATGAAGCCCGGGATTTAAATATCCCGGGCTTCATTTGCATCTTGCCGGGCGCCACTATTTTTAAATCCCCATTAGTGCGGACTCCGTGCCCGTGGCTACATGCGGCATGGAGTAAGTAGTTCGAATTAGGCTCTCTAATTCGCACTACTGGTACACCTCATTCCACGAGGAATAACGGTAGTTCGAATTAGAGAGCCTAATTCAAACTACCTTCTCTGTACCGTGTGTAGCCGCGGGCACGGAGTCCACACTAACAGGGATTTAAAAATGGCGGCGCCCGGAAAGATGCAAATGAAGCCCGGGATATTTAAATCCTGGACTTCATTTGCAACTTCAAATGCCTACATTAGCCTCCCTAGTTCGAACTAGGGTGGCAGTGTAGACATACCCAGGGATGGTTAATGGCAACTGGCACCTTGCGGTGGATTCATCTTCCTCTCTAATGATTTCCAGTGTCAGACCCCTCCCATTATAGGAGGAGCTCCTGCCTCCACCCCCTCCGCCTCCCTACGACAGCTGCTCCTTACCAGCTTCTCGTTTTCAGATTTCTCTATCTGGTTTGGAGGCCGTGTTTTTCCATTCCCAGTGGGTTGCATCTCTGGCATCATAGAATAGCTGGACTCCCTGTGGTGGGTGGAGTATCCTGGGAAGGGGGCGGGGGTTGACCCTAAATGGAGAAGTGAGATAAACTCATCCCTAGCTGGGGTCAGTCTCAGAGGCTTTGGCGAGTTTCGACAGGGCTCCCATTACCCCATGGGGGGACCATATCAGGTGGGAGGAGGATCATTTCTGCAGCGGTCCAGTTGCCTGGCTTCTGGCAGTATCACTTTTCTATTGGGTCCCGTTTCCCAGCTGGGTTTCCTTTTCTCTGGCATAGCGGCAGCTTGTGGAGATGGGAAATCCCCTCCCTGGCCAACCGGCTGATGCCCATGGCTGGGACACTGATGGACAGTTGCAGGGAAGCCCCCAAGTTCTCCAGTTTAAGGACTTGTGCTCTCCAGTGGAAGGAAGACGAGGGGGCTCCATTCTGCTGTCAGCTCCCAACTTTCCTGGGCTAGGAGTCTTTCTCCTTCATGTCCCTCTGCTGGAGACACTGGGGGACAGGAGCTAGAGCCAGCCCCTCAGACAAGGTCCCCTCTAAGCTGCGCGGCAGCACGGCCCTGCAGCTGCTTAATGAGCCCTGACCACGTGCTCAAGGCTGCTGCACTTGGAGCTGCCTGGCTGGGGAAGGGGGCACTTCTCCCTTAGCTACAGCAGCAGCTCCCTGCCGAGGACAGAGCAGAGAGGTAGGGACACGTCCCCTCCCTACTGGCTGGGAGAGGCTCGCTGCTCTCTCCTCAGCAGGTTGATGCTGCTACAGCTGAGAGAGAAGTGCCCCCTCCCCCAGCCAGGCAGCCCCATGCGTGGCAGCCCTGAGCCCCTGGGCAGGGCTCACTAAGCAGCTGAGGGTAGTGTCATTGTGCAGCTTAGAGGGAACCTTGCTTGCCCTCAGCTCCTTCTGCCCCAAAGGGATGTGAGCAGGGCCTTCCATGAGGACTTGCACCCCCAGCTGCTCCAGGAGAACAAGGAGGGACCCAAGGCCAAGCATGAACCTGGCTGGAGCAGGGGTTGGGACATGATCCCCTAAAAATCCCAGGATGGCCACTGAGCGAGGAAAGGAGGAACTTGACTCAAGTCCATCTCATGCCCTGCTCTGACTCTGCCTTGCCAAGGGGGACACTCCCATCCCACAGCCCCTGGAGCTGCAGGTCCCACAGCCTGTTGGAGCCGGCCTGCCTATGCCTGGGGTCCGGGGTCACTTAACTATAAGGGGTGTGGGGGGGAGGGGGGAGAACGGGAGGGAAGGAATATGTGAAGTTGCCCCTGCCTGGCATCTCTGTCCTGACTGGCTGATGTCAGGGTCTCTCTGTGAGGTCACCACCTCCCCACCACTATCCTCCAATAGGCTGTGATCCTGCAACAGGCCTTTGTGATGTCACTGCCATGCCCACCCCACACCTGCATGGATAATGCCCCTCGGGACAGGTTGACTGATCAGAATGCAGGGCTCTCAAGTGGGCTACAGACCAGCAATGGCTCATTGGCATCACTCAGCAATTATCTGAGAAGAACTGGCACACGAAAGAGAATCGGGAGCTGCACAGAGACAGTAACTGCAGAGAAGCAGCGCGATCCACCCAACGCAGGCTGGTTTGTGACTTGTTTGATCTTAAAAGAGAACAAAAGGACCTGAGTCTCCCAGCAGCTCGGCCAATCAGCATCAAGACTCAGAGCTGGGAGGCAGAGGAGTCTCAGCAGAAGTTCAAAAGGACGGCTCTCTTCCAGCCCCACCTCTCTGGGAGGGCCTCCCATAGTGACAGCCACCCCCCTGACTCCTTGGTGGAAGCAGGGCGGAATGAAAAAGGAGAAAAGAAGAGAAGAAAAGAAAGGGAAGGAGGGAAAGGGAAATCTAAAACGACAAACACTGACGGCCCCTGTGATTCTACGACAGGTACATCCTTGGTAGGAAATCAAACCACCTTAACCTAACGATTTCTGAGCCTAGAATTCAGGGGGTACCAGGTGGATCAGACCGATCAGGTTCCAAGCCTTTCTGAGGCTCTTACTTTCTCAGCAGGGACTGCAAAATCAACAGTAGGGAAGGAGAAAACTCCCAGCAGGTTCCTCCTTGTGCCCACATACATTGATCCCAATTCTCTCTCGGTGCCCCAGGAGAGACCTTGAGAAGGAGCCATGCTGCTGCAGAGCCACAGGAGCCTCTGAGGTTGTCCCTACACTGACCCTCTGTCCTGATTGGCTGATGTCAGGGCCTCTCTGTGAGGTCACCACCTCCTCTCCGCCGTCCCCCAATAGGCTGAGGTCCTGCAACAGGCCTTTGTGAGGTCACTGCCACATCCACCCCATCCCCTGCACGGCCAGCCTCTTTGGATGTGTAAGGGGGTTCCCCTGGATCAGTAGTGATGGCTGAACCTGGGGACTGAGCTGGGTGCACGGTGACGCCCCAGAGGCTGCTCCCTCAGCTGCACTCAGCTGTCATTAATTAGTAGACTTGAAGCCTGGAAGGGACCATAAGAGCATCGAATCTGACCCCTGCATCTGACCATTGCAACACATTTGTTTAAACAACTTAATCGTAGCCAGGCAGGCGATGAAATTTTTGGGTAGAAAAAGTACAAAAATAATAAAACACTGTAAAACTTAATTAAGTTTTCTCCAAAGATCCTCCCCCCCCCCCCCCCCCCCACTTCTCTCAAGTACCCTTAAGGATACTCAGACCACTGGTTGAGAAACACTGATCTAGACGTCATCAGTCATCTAGAAATGGAGACGCCCTCACTTGCTTTGATAGTTTGTTCCCACGGTGAGTCATCCACACCGTGAAATATTTGTGCCTCATTTCTAATATAAATTTGTCTCTTTTCACCTTCCAGCCACTGGTCATCTTCTGCCTTTTTCTGTGGCATTAAATAGCCCTTTAATCCCGGACATTTTCTCTCCAGGAAGGCACTTAGACACTTCAATGAAGTCACCTCTCAGCTTTCCCTTGCAGAAGCTAAACATGTCGGGCTCCTTTCAATAGTTCATAAAAAGGTATTTTTCTCCAGCCCTCAGATACTCTGCAGATCCATCTCTGGTTTTCCAACATCTTTTTAAAATGTGGTCCCTACACCAGGCTGCCATCTCCAGCCTCAGTCTCAGGGATGCTGTGTCACCTCCTGGCCCTGCTCACTCCTCTGCTCATGTGTCCAGTGATGGGTGTAGCCATATTCACCTCACCCCCGCCCTGGGAGCCATGGTGAGCGGCTTGCCAGGCATGACCCCTAAATCCTTCTCAGAGTCCCTGCTTGCCTGGGCACAGTTCCCCATTCCAGGGGTGTGGCCTGCAAGCTTTGGGGCTAAGGTAGGATCTTGCATTTGGCTCTGTGAAAACCTGCTGTGTTTGCATGGGTCCAGCTTCCCAAGGGATCCAGATCTCTGTGTCACTGCCCCGGCCTCCGCCTTATTTACCTCTCGGTTCGTATTTTGTCACCCACCCACATTACCCACAGTGATTTCCTATTTTCCTCTGGCTCACTGATAACAATCATTTAAATAGCTTGTTCCTGAGAGCCTCTTTAGACCCTAGCAGAGTACCTGCCCTTCTCCAAATCTTCGCCGCCTGCTTCTTGCGTTGTGTCACCCCAAACTGGGCAGGGGTTTGGAGTGACTCACAGCAGGCTGAGTGACTCAGTGGGAGGAACACAGGTACACGCACTGGGCTAGCGGGAGATGAGTGCCACCCCATTACAAGTAAAAACCACACCCAATCCATTGGACAGGCTTAACGATCACAACCCTGAATTTGGCTTGGAAGCACGTGCCGTGATGCATACAGTTTCTTTACAGGAGCCGTCGAGAGCCCAGCGGAATACTATGAAAAGTTGAAACTGATTTATTAATTGTGTTTTTATTTGTTAATGTTGTTGTTTTGGATGTCATCTTGGCACATTGCATCCCATTAGTTAATCTTTCATTAGCGTTTGTTAGCGAGCGGTTCCCTTGCTAATGTTCAGCTCAGATTCACATCAGGTTACTGGCACTGAAAAAGAAAGGAAAATCCTGCAGGAAGCCTTCCTGTCTCTGTAATTATTTCCCTTGCTTCCACACTACTCCTGTTGATGCCTTTGGATTTAATTAGTTCAAAGAAGAATTAGAGACATTCCTGGAGGATGGATCCTCCAATGGTTAGAGCCAAGATGGTCAGGGCTGCCATCCCATTCACTTGGAGGTCTCTAATCATCTGACTGCCAGAGGCCAGGAGTGGAAGGCCGGGCTGGAGAGACCCATCCCTGTTGTGTACACTCTTCCTGAATCTCTGGTCCTGGGTTCTGTTGGATCAGGACATTGGGGTGGATGGACCAGAGGTCTGGCCCGGTATGGCAGCTCTGACATAATCTGTGCTGGTGGTTCCTGGGGTACAAGTGACTGCTGACTGTGTGATGAATACGTTTCATTTGATAGTTACACCTAAAGGCCCTGAGTTCTCAGCCCGATAGTTCTCAGCCCTATTGCGCTAGGTGCTGTACAAACAGGGCTGAGACACTGCAGTGTGATTGTGGCATGGGTTGCATGCCTCTCCAAGAGAGCAAAGTGAATATGGATCCAGGGGGATGGGATAGCCTGTACTGCTGTATCTTCACTGCTGTTCTTCGCTGGACTAGCTAGATCATGCACACCTCTGATTGGTGTGTCTCCTTAACCATCTCAGTGAGGGTGGGGAAAATGGGCCCAGAGAAGGTAAGTGACTTGTCCAGCAGGTCACAGCTGGGAACAGAACCTAGGTCTGCTGAGGCTGCGGTGTCTCTGGGCCTCTGCGTTCCTTCACCTTGACACCTGGCTGTGCACTGTGGCCTTATGCACCCTGCCCCTAATTTCCCCTGGCTTTGCAGCTGGCTCAGCCATTTACTCCTGTGCAAAGTGTCTAGGAAACTCTACCCCCAGGGTGAGGGCCTGGAGATGTCTAGCTGGCAGCCTTTGCAAGCCCTTGGCACAAGTGTGAATGACACCATGGACAAAGCTGTGGGATTTTGCACTGCAGGGTAGAGCTGGGGGAGGCAGGGTTTGTGGCAGACTGTAAATGGGCTGGTGAAAACGTGCGTTTTTCAGAGCTCGGAAAGGTGGGGGTTGGCAAAGAGCTTTGGTGGAAAGAAAGAAAATCAGAAATGCCAAACTATTTCATTTAGCGGCTGTCGTTCCAATTGGCCATGAGCCAACGCTTCGGTCAGCCTGGACCGGTTAGTTTGGTTTGGTTTGGATTTTGCAAGGAAAACAAAATGAGCAGTTAATTGTAACTTAGGGCTTGATCCGGGTTGACTCAGCTGCAGAGAGGCCGGGGATGGCCAGCTCCCTGGGAAGGAACGTGATGCCTTGTGGGGCTTGGCTGAAAACATGCCTTGTTCCAGGGTCACATGTGCACAGCCTTTGGTCTGGGTGTGAAATCCCTGGGCAGGTGAGTCTCCGAGCTCATGGGGGATCTTAACGCCTTGGGTGTCCCCCTTCTTGATCCGGGTTGACTCAGCTGCAGAGAGGCCGGGGATGGCCAGCTCCCTGGGAAGGAACGTGATGCCTTGTGGGGCTTGGCTGAAAACATGCCTTGTTCCAGGGTCACATGTGCACAGCCTTTGGTCTGGGTGTGAAATCCCTGGGCAGGTGAGTCTCCGAGCTCATGGGGGATCTTAACGCCTTGGGTGTCCCCCTTCCTGTTTGCAAAGGGCCATCAGAGTGTCTCCAGGCCAGTGGTTTTCAAATGGCAAGTCACGGCTCAGTACAGGTGGGAGAATGTCGGGCACTGGGTCTTGTGGCTGCAGGGGATCAGGTGAGCAGTGGGGGGCTAAGGCAGCTCCTGCCTGTCCTGGCACCACAGACTGCTGCGCCCAGAAGTGCCTGGCAGCAGGTGGTGCCAGGACAGGCAGGAGCTCTGATGGCCCTTTGCAAACGGAGAGGGGGCCACCCAAGGCGCTAAGATCCCCCCATGAGTATGTTTTCAGCTGAGCCCTACAAGGCATCATAGAATCATAGAGCTGGAAGAGACCTCAGAAGGCCATCGAGTCCAGCCCCCTGCCCAAGGCAGGACCAATCCCAACTAAATCCACCCGTCCAAGACTTACCAACAGGAGCTGATCCTCACTGGCCTCTCTTTCTAGCGCCACATGCCTAGATGTCCTGGTTTGCTGCCCCCAAGTGTGTCGGAAAAGCTAACTCAGAGGACATAGCGTAGGAGCTCAGGGTAGGAGCTCAGTTTTAACAGGCCATTTCAATCTCTCCCTTTTTGATCAGGAAGATGTGATGAACCAGGTCTAGGGCAAAGCCTCTGTGGGATTTCCCATGCTTTAACATTTTATTCCGTCTGGGGAACACGCTTTCATAGCATGGCTGGTGTTCCTTTCTGGAGTGGCTCTCAGAAGTTGAGTGAACCCTTTCCAAACTTGGAAATGCTTTGCTTCAAGTGCTGGGCAAAAGTTTGGGTCCGTTTTTATTTACTTATAACATTTTGTCAAGCTCCTTTTCTAAAGCCTCTGTGGCCAGATTTCCACAACAGCTCAGCACCCCTCTTCATCTGATGTGCTTAAGCTCTCGTGAAATCCGGCCTCGTTACAGGCGTAATTGGATATAAACCCCCGCCCTGGATTCTGCTGGAGGTCACACTTTGATAATTTAACCGGCCCCTCTGGCTGTGCACTCTCTGAATTAGTTGCTTACATGGGTGTTTCAGAGAGTGCCAGTTCCCTTCCCCCGTTCTGCATTTTACTGTAAATATCGAGAAGTTGAAGGGCTGGTGGAACAACCGAAAACCTTTGGCGCACGCTCCAAGCAGCCTTGCAAAGAACAAGATTGGGGTTGATTAGAAGAGAAAGCCGAAGCAGTTTTAGGGGAAGGAAAACCAGTAAGGTTAGAAAAGAAAAAGTAATTATGGGCTTAAAAGGAATAAGAAGCGCCAATTAGTGCTGAGTATCTCAGTCAACAAAGAAAGGATTTTTCAAGTGCACACACGGCGGACCAGGGAGAGAAAACACAGCCCCGTCAATGAATTCCAGCAGGGATTCTGAGATAAAGGGGAGCAGAAGCAATGAAGATATTAAACAATTACTGAGCATCAGCTTTTAGCAATTAAAAGGAAGGCGGGTACCCGTCGTCGGGGAGATTTCCAAAGGGAGGCGACAAGGAGGAGGAAACGGATAATACTGAACACTTGGTTTTCTTCTTTCAGGCACTCCAACTTTGGCCAGACGCCAGCTTCCGACATCCCAAAGCCAGGGAGCTAATGGTAGCAGGTCGTATGAGAGGAGATTGACAGAACTTCCACTCGGTACCAGGATGGTAACGGGACAGTCTCTCCCGTGAAGGACCAGAGACCAGTGTTCATGGATGGATCAGGCATAGCAGAGGAGAGGCAGGGGTTCCCTACAAGGTGCTGGACTGTCAGTAAGAAAGAGGGATCCCCAGTGATGGGGTGGGAGAGAGAAAGCCCTGGCAGATGAAGCTCAGCTGAAAGAGCAAGGACAAGTTGTGCTATAGGCAGGAGGGAGTGAGGGAGGCAAAGGGGAAATCCCCTGGAGGCTGTAGTCTCTGGTTGAGCTGAGGATTTGAAAATAAATCTATGCTTGCCAGGACGCTGGTATGGCAGAAGGGTCTCCGTGGGCTGGTGATCCAGAGCATGTGGCTGGTTTGAGCTCTGTAGCCAGAAGGTGGGCAATCCCAGCTTAGTTTAAATGGGGAAACTGAGGCACAGAGAAGCAACCTGCTCAAGGTCACCCTGCAGGCCTGTGGCCCAGCCAGGTATGGAACTCAGCTCTTCCCAGCACCCAGTCCTATGCGCTAACCACTAGGCAACACTGCTGTTCATGCCCCTTTATGCTCTACTCCACATGGCTAATCACGTCCGAGCCATAATGGGGCCATAATGATAAATGCGGAGTGGTGCTAGAGTCTGCTACCCTCTTGGCCTCACTTGATGAGCTGCAAAGAAGAGACCCCACCATAAGCCCAGCAACATTCCCAGCTTGGGATGAGGTTGGCTCAGTCAACTGCACATTTGGGCTGCATCTCGGGCTTGTTGTGTAGATAGTTCCTGAGTTGAGGGAAGGGGTTTTTTGTTGCTCTAGGCAGCCAGCTCTCCCCCAGGTGGCAGCACTCTGGATGGAAGAATCCTTCTGTCAGGGTCTGTCTACACTACAAAGTTAATTCCAACTAACAGCCGTTAGTTCGAATTAACTTTGATAGGGGCTACACATACAAACCACTAGATCGAACTTAATTCGAACTAGCGGAGCGCTTAATTCGAACTAGGTAAACCTCATTCTGCGAGGACTAAGCCTAGTTCGAATTAAGGGCTGTGTAGCCACTTAATTCGAACTAGTGGGAGGCTAGTCCTCCCCAGCTTTCCCTGGTGGCCACTCTGGGCACCACCAGGGAAACTCGTCTACCCCCCTCCCGGCCCCGGAGCCCTTAAAGGGGCACGGGCTGGCTACGGTGCCCATGCCAG